GCGTGCGTGCATGTGCGTGCGTGCGTGCGTGCGTGCGCGTGCGCGTGCATGTGCATGTCGTGATGCCAACATGTTATGCTCAAGACGTTGCTGCAGCATGCAGAAGAAGCGATCAACACACGCATCGATAGGTCGACAGAATCGTTCCCCCGGGAAAGGATTGGATAAATACCCGTCTTCTAACCTTCCCAGGACTTGCTCCCCAACATCCGGTTATTTAAGCCAGCAGCAGCAGCAGCAGCAGCAGCAGTCATCGTCAGCAGCAGTTCAGCATCATCATCAACAACATCATCATCACCATCACCATCACCATCATCATCATCATCATCACCATCCGAATCGTGATAGCAGCCTTTTCGCCCACAACATCTTCGTCGGCATCGCGATGATCAGCAACATCACCGCCATGGCTGGGCCATCGGTGTCATCACATGATGTTATGTCTCCCCTTCATCATCTTGGTATCCACTAGTCATCTTCATACTTGCAATCAAATCCATTAATTTGCTCTTCCTCATCACCACCACTGGCACAAAAGCTCTACTGCCCCAGGTTCTTGAACCAAGACCCGGGATCTCAAATAAATATAAAACGGAGCCCTCGGTCATCAAAACCCGAATCCAAAAGACCAAAACCCGAACCCAGAGCCCGGATCCCAAAGACCAAATCGTAAAGCGCCAACCTCTAATCTAAAGCTGCGGCTTGCCAGAGCCTTTTTGTTACCCTTCCATAATGCCATGAATGTAGTAGATGTCACTATGAAAAGGGGAACAAAGGAGAACAATTGCCTGTGGAGGAAAGTCGGTTTACTTCAATGAATTCTTTGGAAATTATCTTTGTCTTATTCACCTCTTTTTCCTTTGGGTCTTTAGGTGAAGAGAAGCATGCGGTGGAATGAAAGAGTGAAAAGACAATCAAACAAGCAACGTGCATTGAAAGAGTCTTCAAAACCTTTTTACTGTACGACCCCAAATCCAAATCAAACCTGTCGGGAATCCCTTGAATTGAAAGCTCAGAAGCTTTCAACCAAGAAATGCAGAGAACTGCACTGATCCGTGTTCCCCCCGACAGCCAACTCCTGGGTCACGGAGTCCCAGGCTTCGCGGTCGCTGCCATGGTCAGCCTTGGTCCCGTGCACTGCCCTTGGGTTGGGGCGGCTCAGGGTGGTGGCTGTAAAGCTTCGGGATTTTGCAGTTCTTGAAGGCCCAGAACTCCAAAATCCCCTGTACAGGGATTCTCAGTATGGTTCGCGGATACGTTGGTTGATGTGCTTTCATGAGAAGGACAAAGAGGCCACGGGCCTGTGGTGGAAGCACGATTTCCAGCCAGCAGAACAGTAATCCCTGAACCGCAGGGCGGTAACAGCCATCATGCCAAGCGCCAGGAACTTGAGGACACGTGGCCCGAAGTGAAACCCGGAACGCCAAACCCAAAACACAGAGAAACTTTAAAAAAACTGAGACCAAACCCGGAATCCCGTTCCCTATAAAGACTGCAACCCTAAATCTAAGAGACTCTGACTCCTGGCCTGGCTTGCTGGGAGCCCCCTGCCCGCGTACGCGCCAACTCGCGCGACATGCCCTCGACAACCTGCAGCAGCTTCGCCTCGTTTTCAGCAGGTTCGCTTTGCGCTTTAGGACCTGTACAGCTGAGGCTTTTGGGCTTTGGTGGAACTAGCGCCTGAGGATTCATGGACTTGAGGTTCAGATGTTAGTGGGTTTCGGGGTTTAACGCAGGGTTCAGTAATTTAGGGATGTTGGAGCCTTTTGGGGCCTGGATTTTGTGGAAACAGGTTTATGGCAGTCTATGTAAACCCTAAACCCTAAACCCATCACCCGGAACGCAACCAAAAAGCCGAGACTTGACTGTGATTATGATTCTTGCATTGTCGCTACGAGTACTGCTGAGAGAATCTCTGTTAAGACACCGTCCTTCTGTTTCAAAAGAAGCTGCTCAATAGTGACAGGACAGCTGAAAGCCTGCAGCCCAACATCATTCCTCGTCTTACCAGACCAAAATGGCTACACCCCGAACTGCTGGACTGCGTTTGCTGCTCCTGCCTGGGCATCGGCCACCGCTCCTAGCTCGCCCTGGCTCAGTTCGTCGGGTCGGTCTGGGGCTCAAGGCTTCGGGCTCCTTTCTCCTGTATAACATCCCGATCTCCAAATAACCCTCAACATCGGAGTGCCAGCTTTCCAGAGGGCCTTTATGTCTCTAACCCTGAGACCTCTCCACAACATCTGCCTGCGAAGCCTGCGCCTTGAAGGCTCCCTTGGCCCGAAGGCTTTAGGGTATTCTGCTTGAGGGCCTTGCCAGAAACTCAAGCAAGTACAAAATGCCCAAGTGAAAGCCCCGAAGGTACTGCCCCGCGCTAGCAGAAGCCCCAACCCACAGCGAGCCTCCAGCCTGGCTGCGGAGGTATGCCCCGCCTGGGCTGCGACCTCGATGCAGAGACTCCAAAATATGCCCGGAACACAATCCCTTGCTTGGCGTGCTTTCATGATCTCCTGGTGAAAGATTCAAGGAACCTCTGTATTGGTAGCTCTACCAGCCCACAACGGAAAGTATACATCACTGCAAGCTAGTTAATCACTTGTTGAAAAGCCACGGCACATCCTGCGACGCCACGATTTCGGAACGAAGCGACTCAAGCTCACCTCAGGGCTCCAGGCCTTGTGGCTAAGGGCTGGAATAGCTGGGGGGTGGGGGTGAGGAAGAGCTTAGGGCTGCCCCGACCACCACCACCTCCACCTGCAGTAGCAGCACCGGCGCCAACACAAACATCATCGTCAACGTCAGCCTCCTCGTCATCGTCCACTCGTCATCAGCATTATCATCGTCGTCAGCATGATCGCGGCCAGTTTTAAAGCTTCAAGGCTGGTCATCTTCATCTTGCAAGAACAGTGACTGTTGCGACAGCTACTCTGCGGCTCGGGGGGCCTTCTAGGAAGTTCGGCAACAGCTGCCCGAGCCGCGCGTCCACCTCTCTGGGAAGCAATCTTTGTCTGGAAGCTTGGAGCATAGGATTCCAAGTAGGGCTTGGGCGACAAGGCGGAGGCTTTAGCGCATGGGGCTTGAAGCTTACAGCTTGGGGTGGTTGGAGTCTGCGAGTCCGAGTTGCGATAAAAGTTGCGTCGTAACCGCTGCAAAAAGCATCCACTCGAGCTAAAGACCTACTCTCTATACATCCCTCAATCCCTTGTCCGTTCAACCCAAGTCTCTGAACACCTAAACCCGAATCCAAAGCTCTTAACATACCTACACCTAAAGCTTCAAACTTCAAGACCCTAGGCATCCCTAAACCAGGAGCCCAAACTTCGAAACAGCAATCCGAGAAGGCGCGCCTGCATATCAACCCACGCCCTCAGCTGCACGCCATACGTCGCCACGGCAGCATCATACTTTCCGGCACCTCTGATGGTTCAGGATCGCAGGACTAGAGTGTTGGACCCGCATATAGATTGTCAGGACTGAAGATTTGGGCTTAGAATAGGGTTGGACTGAGGGTTCTGCTGCTCGGGGGCCTTCTCACGGCGCATGGCCCAGCATCTGCCCCACTGTCTACCTACCTGCCCACCGACCGACCGACGCACATGTGCACCTATGTGCATGTGCATCTGTATACATGTACATATATGCGGTGTGTGTCCATATATATATATATATACACACACACACATCGCATATACACGTCATACATGCGAGTCAGTTTTTGAATCGACTGCCGCGACAATTAGGCGATGACCAGGGTTCTTCATACCTGAATACATTCAAGACTTCGAAGGAATAAGTGTAACAGAAAGTCTTCAGCTGCCTGTTTTCCCAGGACCCAAACGCTGCCCCACTTTACAAGCGGGCCTGGCGCTCGCTGTCGCGTCACCTGGGCATCAAAGGTGGTTCGAGACTTTCTTGTGACTGCAAAGGTTTTGTGGTTTGGGCTGTTGGGGGCTTTACAAGGTTTAGGGTGGCTTGTGGTTTGGGGTCCCTGGGGCTTAGGAAGGTTTAGGGAGAAAAGAGGCTGTTAGTGAGTCGCAGAGTCGAGTGCGCCCGGATTGGAAGTAAATCGCTCAAAGCTTAAGAGTCGACAAAAAACTTTTGAAGGTTTGGTGGCGCCTAGGACTTGCAACCGCTGACTTTGGCCGAATCACAGGCCTCATGGTAGGGACCTAGGGCGCACGGCTCCGGTTTCATGGTTCCAAGCTTTTGGGCATGCACTGGCGAACGGAGTTCTTTGACCTCTCTTCTTGAGGATTTTTCTCGTACTGTGTGTTGAGCGTGGGAAATGTCAGATGAAGTGTGTGTTTGGCTTTAGCTTTTCCACTATACGACTATGCTGTGCCATTTGCAGTACCATCCCAGCCGTGGCTTTCCGCGTTCGCCATTTCTTAGATTCGACGCCGGTCGATGTCGCGGTGTCGCTCATGAACCCCAGGGACCCGAAGCCGGACCCTGTTATAAATTCAAGCTCCAAATCTACAACCCGAGGCTCGTGCACTGGTCCTTTCACACGGCTCCTGCTCTACATGTTTGTCGTGTTATTCAAAGCCTTCATATTGCAACGCAAACTCAACAACTGCTCTACACGAGAAGTTCGACGAGGAGGCCAGCGAGCCAGAAGCGTCACCCCCAAAACAAGCCGTACAAATCAACCTCCAAATCACAGCACCCTTCTTTGGAGTTCGGTAGGGCCCACAACTTCCCGTCCCAACAAAGGAATCTGAGCACCGGAGCCGTTTGTTGCAAGGCTTCCTCCAGGGCCTCAACCTCAAATGAGGTGTGGACATGTGGATGGGCGTGTGTGTGTGTGTGTGTGTATATATATATATGTATGTATACACACATGTATGTATGTGTGTACATATGTATATATATACATATATATATATGTATAAGTATTTGTTTTGTATGCTCACCCCTCAAGATCTGCGCCTGACCCTCATTTGTCTTACTTGTGGTGGGCCTGGAGACATTACTGAAAGTCTGCACAGTAAGCGCGACATGCTCTGCATGAGTGTCCACACCCTGAATGTCTCCATATTGAGAGTTTAGCTCTTTGTGTGCGGAGCTCAGGATCCGGGCGTATTTCGGTGGTACTGTTTGTGAAGCCTGGGGTCGGGGTTCGGCTTATCATCCTCGCTTCCCGCCTCCTCGATGACGGCCTCTGCACCCACGGCATCGCCGGGAGCCTCCCCAGCAAGACCGCGCAGTTTGCCACTCTGTTTGAACCGAGTCAGAGCTTCGGTTTGGAGCTCAGGGTTTTGTGGAGTGCAGTATTGCAGCTGTTGCAGTTTCCTGGATCGCCGCGCGCATGGAGAAGATCCCTAGGCCCTAAACTCTCAACGCCCAACCCGAAACTAAACCCTAAATCCGGAACCCTAACAAATCTCTACCCCTGGCCTCGTGGAGAAGCGGATCCCTGAGTGTGTCTTTCCCAGAAACCCTAAAGAGCCCTTGTGTGCGGGATCAGGTTGCTTGAGGGTATTGCACGAGCTTTACTAATGGTTCAAAGGGGGTTTAGAACGGTCTCAGGAAGGTCTCACAAAAGTCGTGCTAAGTGCTCCAAAACCATACAACTAGACACCCGATAAAACTACTTAGTACTACCAAGACGGCTAGGAGTCACAACGGACAGCAAAAGCCCTGAACACTGAATCCCTGGTCCTTGCAGAATGCCTCATCAATGCCACTTCCCTGTAAGCCCTCACAAGCCCTGAAGAGTTAGTTCCATCCACTAATCCCCAAACCCTCCTCAGCACAAACTCCAGGAACCACCAAGCCCGGACGGAAACCCAGGGAGCCCTGAAATTCCTTGGGAGCCCTGTAAGCCTCAAAGACTCAAACCCCTAAGCTCTGCTTTTATTGGCCTTAAATCCTAAGGGAGGCGTCCGAAAACGCCCCACGTCACAGCTCTGGTGCGCCTGCGCCCGGCGATGCGAGGGTCTGGGCAGCGCCTCAGTAACCGAGGCTCCACGGGTCCAGGAGAAGATAGTTTGGGTAGTTCTCTAAACTAGGGTCCCTGCTAGGGTCCTTTTCATACGGGTGCCGTACTATATTGGGGACTTAGAAAAGGGACCCTAGTTTAGAGAACTACCCATATCTACAAATAGCAGAGCGAAGACTTGCCTGGGGCTTCTGGGAGGATTTTGGACTCGGCGTGGGCTTGTCGACTCTAGGACTTTTATAGGGGCTTATGGGTTCGAGTCGAGGGCTTCGTGATTGGACCTTTAGGGTTATAGGAGGTAAGGCTTTACGGCACATAGGGTTTGGGGTCTAGGCCTGCAGGGTTTTGCGGCGTTTCGTTTGGGGTGTGGCTAGTTCTTCGAAGGGTTCAATACTTTTGAGGCCTCAAGTCGTGGCTCCTCCAGGAGACCGAGCGAGGGTCAGTGGGTTCGTCAGTTTTGCTTGGGTTCTGGGTTCTGGGCGAAGGGTTGGGATTTGGAGTATGGGACTTAGGGTCCAGGGCATAGGGCGTAGGGATGCCCCGAAGCAACGCTAACTCTAAAGGTCTGGAAGCCCCTCGATTGCAAACCATTGCCACACATGATGGCTCCCGAAGCCTAACTTTAACTCTGCCTCCTAAAGCCCTTTCACCAGACCCTCAAAAAACCCTAGCCCTAGCCAAATGCATATATACTTAATCGCCAAGTTTCAAGAAGCCTTGATCAGAAATCACCATTGGCCGAGTCTCTGCTGTCATCGGGAGCGGCGGACCGTTGCGGCTATGATGCCAGCACTGTTCGAGATTTGTAATGTTCCCAATATCATCGACTCCTACTGAGAGCTTCGGGCATTTTAGTATCACAGCGAAGCGGATCAGGGGTTGGGGGAAAACGTATGATGAGGTATCCTCTTTGGGCGGTGTGCATGGCAACAGTTTCCTGATTAGATAGAGGCCATGCCACATGGGATTGCAGGACTTCCGCTCGAAGGGTCTTGAGCCATATTTCGTGAAGATAGCAGTCATGCTTGGCATCGACGGTCGCAAAAGTGTGGGTGCTTCTCATGGCATGTGGCGTCGATAAGGCCCGAAAACGTGTCCACCTTCGTTACACCTGGTGGAGTGTGCCATCCTCGTCGTCGATGCTGGCAACACTCACTCTCGAGAGAGGTGCTAATCCCTACCTCAAGGTGCGGGCCCCCCACCCCCCAATAGATACTAAGAAAGTGTTTTTACTATTAGGGTGTATTTTTATCTGTACTGTCAGATTTAGTTACAATTACGGCAGCTCCGCACGGAAGGCTCAGTGAGGGCCTGTGAAACCTGACTGAGTCTTTTCAAACAGACAGGCAGTCAGGCCTGCAGATTTAGGAAAGTGTGAGGCAGGCTTCGGACAGGCACGCTCACAGACCGAGCTGCAGACAGGCCGTCGCAGCTGAGAGAAAACCGACAGCTGGCAACCAGCGAGGCTCACCCTAAACCCTCAACCTTTGCCCTAAACCCCCCTAATGCAGAATAGGTTTTAAAGGGCAGGGGTGATTTCGGGAGGGTTGGGTCCAAGGTGTTTTTACTTCTTTTTTGTTGGGAGGGGGGGTGTTTAATAAAAGGGGGAAGGGATTAGGGCTGAGGCGTCAAGTCCAATTCGGGTACCAATTGCAGCAAGAGTTGCGATCCAGGATTTGTTACGATTTAGGGTAAGCTTTGGGAGTTTGGGGTTTAGGATTTTGAAAAGCTTGGGGTTGGGTCAAGCCCAAAGTCAAGAAAGCTAAACCCCAGCTCGCCAGCCCTTCCTAGTCTATGAGGATACCTCTCTCCACTGTTCATCCTGTACTCAAGAGGTTGTTGCTGCTGCTGCTGCTGCTGCTGCTGCTGGTGCTGCTGTTGTTGCTGTTGCTGCTGCTGCTGCTGCTGCTGTTGTTGCTGTTGCCGTTGCTGTGGCTGCGGCTGTGGATATTGCTGTTGCTGCTGTTTCGTGCTGTCGCTGTTGTCGTCGTTAGTGTGGTTGATGCTGTTGTTGTTGTTGCTGCTGGTGTTGCTTTTGTTGCTGGTGTTGATGAAGTTGATTTTGTGGCTGTTGCTGCTGCTGGTCTTGTTGTTGTTGGTGCTGGTGTTGTTGCTATTATTGTTGTTCTTGTTATTCTTATTATTCTTCTTGCTGTGCTGGTGCTGTTGATGTTGATGATGTTGCTGTTGCTGTTGCTGTGGTCGCTGCTGGTGCCGTAGCTGTTGTTGTTGATGTTGTTGTTGTTGGTGGTGATGTTGTTATTGCTGTTGTTGGTGGTGTCGCTGTTGTTGCTGTTACTGTTACTGTTACTGTTACTGTTGCTGTTGCTGTT